TGTCTTCACCTTCTCAGTTCTTGTCATCTGTGTGAGCTGAGGGTTTTTAGCCCTCTCAAGATACAAGCCACGCAGGTAGAATTGCTGGGTTTTTTTTCTTGGTGCCGCTACTGCACAGTAGAGTTGACTGCAGTTTGTGTAACTTTCTGTGTCTTGGCAAGGAAATGAAATGCTTTTAATATGTGTTTTAACAACAGCTAAACCTGGAGAACTCATGCCAGAACCTGAGACAAATGCTTATATAAAGGTGCTGGTCTGACATCAGGACACGTACTAATACACAGGCTCCATACAGAGCGGGGTTGTTTGCCTGAGGCCACGTTTATGCCTTAGCTCCTGCTAGCCACTTTGAACTTGGTTTTTTTTTTTCCCTCCTTCCTCCCTCTTTAGAGCCTCACAAGGTAAATTCAGGCACATTCAGGTCTCACTGAAGCACACTGTGGTTTTATTACTTTCTGAAATTACAGTTTGCCTCAAACCCCCGGCCATGTTCCCGGTTCTCATGGCTCATGATGCTGCTGGAAGGTGAGCGCAGGAGCACGTGGCTGCACTGCCGCGAGGCTGTTTGGATCGAAGGTGGATGGTTTGCCAGGTTATGGGGAGCTGAAGCTGAGTTTGCCACTCTTAAATATAAGCCTGTTTCCTTTCTGCGCTGTGCCATGAATGCTCAATTGATTCTCCTGCTGCTGGAAAACAGCAGGGAACAATGAAACACGCAGGTTCAAACCACTCAGTGTTCACTGCGATTAGGCAAAGTGAACCTTGCTGCAAAGACAGGGAAGGTCAGGCTGCTCGAGTGGAGACAGGAGCAGAGCTGAAGCATCCATCCGCTTCCTCTGGGGATTGCTCGCAAGCCAGGTCCTTGCTCTTGAGCTCAGTTACTTTTAGGAAGGGGGAACAACTCTGGACTTACTCAGAAAGATTAAATTCTCCTTTGGATGGGAGTGAGTTTGCTGCTTAGGTTGATGTGCGAGCTGAGCTGAGCCTGGGTGGTTTGAGCTGAGCCTCAAACAGAGGTGCCTTAGCACAAAGCTCCTTTGGAGCCGTGAGAGGGTGGATGTGGATGGCAGCTGGCTCCTCAGCCTCTTCTTCTGCAGGATAAAAGATGGTGATGAGCCTGTGGTGTGGAATTCTTGCAAGAGAACAAATATGAGATTCAGTTGACTGTGAGGACGTCTACCACTCGTGGTAGAAAAGTCCTTCCCCCTCCACTTAATAGGGTCTGACTGCTTCTTAGGCTTCTTCAGTGACATCTTGGCATTTGTTTGTTGGAATTAATGCTTTATGCCTCTGATAATTTGCCTCTCCTCACAGAGCTGCAGCACCCTGGTAGTGTTCATGTAAGTTCAGCTCTCAGTGGCCTTTTGATCGCTTAAGGTGGTTCTCACATGGCACTGCTCATTTACATTTGCAAGAGGACCTGAGGAAAGAGAATAGCACAAATTCCAGTCTATTTCTAAATATTCTAGAGGATATTCCCTTTCCTAGCAGCAGTCATGGCTAGTATACTGAGAAAGAAAACCAGAAATCAAGCAAACAAATGCTGGGTTTTGTCATCCCGTTCCTTAGTGGGTTTTGTAACTTAAGACCCTGACCTGTTGACGTTTTTGGGAGGGGAATCAAGTCACAGAGCTGGCAGCCAGTGCTCTTCCTTAGACCTGGATAAGTAAGGAGGGAAAAATCACCTGGTTTTCAGCCTGTGTTTGGCCACAATATAAGACAAAAATGCTATCTGTGCAGCAGTGGAGTTGAAAGGATGAATTAATTCTCTAATTGAGCTTCTGGGTCACAACTAGTATATATTACTGCTGGAGAAACAATAGCTGATTTCATGTCTAGTTTAAAGCCTGCAACACAGCTTGATGCAAATACGACCTTTTTCTAGGTGGCAAAGCGCTGAATTTGTGTGTCTTCCTAACTGGCACCTGCCTTCCCTGGCAGGGAGTTGGCTCTCAAAGTCCAGCTCTCCGGGAAAAAACTCAAACAAACCCCTCTGTTCCCTGTCACCCCTCTCCTGTAATTGCCAGGTGCTGCACAAATCGCTTGACAGATGAGCTCTGATCCCCATCTCGTCATAAATGAGCACGGCCATTCAGCTTGAAATTTGACAGGGTGGAGAGGGCAGGGAGGCTGTATAAATGGGGGCATTGCTACTGCTTGCCAAAACAACCTATATGCTGTATCTGCAAAGGTGTTTTAAATGGAAACCTGCCCAAAGCTTAACTTTATGGAAACACTTCCAGCTCCATCATATGGGGATGCAAAAATAACCGGCAGTGTGTGCCCCCAGCCCCAGTCTCGAGAACTACGGAGGAATTAGTGGCTCTCAAAACCCCAGGCAGGTGTGTATGCACAGGGGGAAGTGCATACTGTGTGTCATAAAGAAAGAATGTCTTGTGATTGCTGTATCAAAGTCCATTTCTTCTTCCCATGCTATATAGCTTTTATTGAGCACTCCTGATTTTCCAAATGTTTTTCTAAACAGAGTAGGATCCAGCCTGCAATACCCTGAAACCGGTAGGTTCCCATGGATTTTGCTGGGCTTTGCTGGGTCCTTGAGTGTTGCAGTGCAGGCTTCGTCAGGCGTAACCCAGCTGATTCACAGGGGAGGAATGGAGCTGGGACTTGCTGTAGGTAAAGCGGAGGAATGGCACCTCCCACCCTGGCCTGAGACACAGACCTTGAACCTCTTTACTTGTTAGACAATGCAGAAAAAAAAAGATTTGATGCATTTTTCAAAGTGCATCTTAGAATGTTACACCCTGTTGGCTGAATTTCATCCTTTTTGTAAACAGGCAGTTTCACTGTCAACAATGAAAATTCTTTAGTTATAGGTGACTCATGCACAAATAGCTCACCATTACCAAGGTAGTTTGAACCAGATGGAAGTTAGTAAGTATGAATATTATGTGGCTTAATATCGAAATATTCAGCCTTATTTATTTGGGATTTTTATTTTAGTAGCCAGAGGAGGAGAAAAAACGCTTCTGTCAATCTGGAATCTGTGCTCTCCTAGTCAGGATCAACAAGGTAAAAGTTGGAAGTGGCTTTTTCTGAATTATGTCCATAGTCAAAATACTTGCTCAGCTTTCCCCAGCCTGCAGTGTGACAGAGAGTCTCTTCAGCCTCTGCTTGTCAATGGTACAACCTTCATCAGCACGGGTTTCAAATGGATGGATGGATGGGGAAAAGTGATGGGGACAGCGCTGTTACCTGAGCTTCGGTGCCTCTCACAGATTTCCTCCAAGGCGTGTGTAAATCCTTTTGCTGTGCTATACAATAAGGCTGGGCAAACTCGAAACACAAAATATTTCTTTCAGCGTGGAAAGATCTACGGCTACAGTTGATGATCATGTTGCTGAATTAACTTGGCCTTGGCTAAACAAAGGAATCATTCAGTCAGAGGAGAATGACCCAGTTACAGACTCGAGACAGAGTTATTTTTGTTTTTTAAATTAAAAGAAAAAAACCCGACCCTTTTTAACTTAAGGGGATCGAAGTATTTGATAAATCGACCTCACAGTTCTGATCCTTCATACCCATGCAGACACTGAGTGCTTCCCATCCTGCTGGTTACTGATCTCTCTCATTCCTCACAGATCTGTTAGCAGAGCCTCCCAAGTACACATTGTGTGTTGACTCAGCTACTGGGCTCCCCACCCCGAAACAACACCCTGCCTGTCAAGAGCAATCAGAGCTCTCCCCTCCTTGCCTATCAAATCTGTACCCTGCCACTACATGTGTTTTATTTGATGGATGCTACTTTGCAGAAACCTTTAGGAAAGCTTCAATAAGGGGCAAGGAAGGGAGACTGCCTTTCACATTTGCACTTCTCTTTATTACCGATTTACTTCTATCCACTCAATAATTTTCTGGCTATTCTGTATCTTGTGCTCTGTAAAATCAAAGCTACTAAGAACATGCCACATGTCCACAATATCCCAATGGAGTGTAACAGACAGCAGGGCAGAGTCCTGCCTGGTTGTACTGGGCAGCATCTGAAACGGGAAACTCAATTCCAGAATCAGGTGTTGAAGAATAATTTAATTTTCAATGGATAGTTTAAGTGTATTAGCTTTCTGAATCTGGGGGCTGAAATGGTTTCAGAGGTCTGTTTGAAGTGGTATTCACACCCTTCTCAGACTGAAGGAGTCTTTTAATGGCTAAGGTTACTAGTCACATTTAGAAAACATTTGGAAAATGCTTATAAAATCAGTAAACATACAGGCTGCTCTTTCTAGATCTACAGTTTTGTCCTACCAAAATGCAGAAGCAGGCATATTTTCAGCTATCCACTTGCGGGCTTGTCCTCTTCAAATAATAGACCTGAGATGACACTGATGTGAGCGAGGTGCTGGTTCGAACTCTGTAAACTTTCTGTCATGGTCACATTGCAATGTTTTTTTCTGTTGTGGGATAGCTGTTGTTTGACATGTAACTTTTGGAGCTTCGAGTTAGGGGATTAAACTGTTTTTCTGCTCCACATTAGATGAACGAAGCTACTTCAAATTCTCTTCTATAAAAGAGTTTTTAAACCTTTCTGTGCTGATTTGTTTTCCCTTCCTTAAAGACATATTACGGAGTACTGGGTACAGAACTCTTCATGCTTATTTACTCAGTGATCTGAATCTCACAACCCGAGATGATAGTCTAAAATCCTAAACCATTTAAAATATATATATTTATCCAAAACTTGTATTACAGCAATAATGTATAGGTAATAATGCATTATTGTGTTTATATCTTATTTTATCCTATTAATACTGAGCAGTGTATATTGTAAGGCAAATTGCTCAAGACTAGATTTTAGCAAAATTTCCATCGACTTCAGCAGGGCCAGATTTTCACCACTAAGAAAATATTAAAAACCCCAGTTCAGTGAGCCTGCACTTGGTAGACTCTGAGTCTTTAACGGGTAGTTGCCTAATTATCACTGTGAAATTTTGGTTAATATTTTATAAACTCACTCTTCTTTTTTTTTCTTCTGTAGCCGAATCAAGATGACGACAGCCGCACCGCTGATCAATAATACTCAGTTCTCAGTAAATGTGACCACAAAGTCTCAAGAACAAAGTCTCTATCAAAGTAAGAAAAGTAGCGGGGTGGTACCTTTTTTTTTTTTTTACTTAAGTGGACCTTGAACTTGGCAAACTTCAAACCGTACAATGACAACTTTGTAAATAAGGCTTTTTTTCCCCTTTCTGCTTCCCTGCTAGGTTCTGGAGCAATAGTTGCTGCCATCGTAGTAGGAGTGATTATTATTTTTACAGTGGTTCTGCTCATATTGAAAACATATAACAGGTACGTGGCCAAGTTCTGTAATTCGCTAAGACAAGACTAGATGAACCAAAATCACTGTTAGGTGTGCTGTTGTCTGACAGACCACTTCAGTATTTGTTGCTGAAAATTTCCAGGAGAATCTAAACTATAATGTGCTTGATTGAAGTGTCCTGAAACTCAGCGTCAGTGTTCTGTGATTGAATTGCCAGGAAGCAGAAAGAGATGCTTGATGGAAGCTCTTTGTAGGGATCCCTGTTGACACAGGGGAAAGGTCTGCTGTGCGCATCAAGGCTGCTAGAGAAAAGCTTGATTTCTCACTTTCAGGGCATTGGGTTAGACTTATCTGCTCTAGAAGCACTGACTTGCCATTTAGTGTCTTTGAGATGAAATCCTTGCTTGTATTGACTTCTCAGTAGCTGTTCAACATAACCTGCTTCAGCGGGAACCTTCCCAAAACTTTCCATGGGAGAGACCACAACATGCACCAGCATGAAATGACAATTTCATTTTTACCTTTACAGACGCATGAGAGTGAAGCGGGAGTTGGAACCCAAAACCACCAAAACAGCAATGCCACCTGCTTTAGGGCAGAACAGCAACAGCCTGTCTCAGCACCCAACAGTGACTTTCATACCTGTGGATATCCACATGCAGAACAGGTAACTGGGAACGCTCATCCTCCCTGTGAGAGAAGAGAGATAGGAATTCTTATTTACGTGGACCTGGGACTCCACAGCAAAGCGACGCTGCATTTGGAATAGCGACGAGCTCTTATTTTGTCTATAGATTGTAATTAATCCTGCTTTCTGTCTTTGGGAGGAAAAATAAAAGGTCTCGACGCTTTGTGTATGACTGAAATCAACTGGTGGAGGCATACAAATCATTAGAAACTCAATGAGCCTTCTTACAGAGCTCTGGATATGGAGAGACTAAATAAACCAAGCCCATTTGTTGGAAAAAAGATGCACACTCATATTTTGTGGAGCTTTTGCTTACTCAGAGAGTTTGAGCTTTTTCTGGTCTGCAATGATTGATGATAAACTGGAAGAAACATTTGGATGTGCAAGCTACAACTCAGGTTGTACCTGGGCTTGTTATGATTTATGTGAAACAGGTTTGTAGTTGGTTTTATACATGATGGATAGTACAGGAAGTATCAAAATTGTATTTATCTTTACTCATCTTTCCTGTTGCTAATGCCACATATGTATGGTTTGAGATTAAAAAGTTACCTTTTATTTTCAAGTATTTCTAAAATATTTCTATAAACTTGGTAACCTATCAATTTCCAAATGAACTCAACATCTAAGGATTTTCACTCTCATGCCAAGAACTGCTTTAGTTTCATTACTGGAGTTGGGTTAGAATGTTTTGTCTTAACACAAAATATGAGAAGTTCTTTAATTGAAAAAGTAAGCATGGAAAGGCAGTATAAAGCAAGCAAGGCTCTATACAGCTACTGTGTACAATTCACATCCTGAAATGCTTTGCTCTCTAATGCAGACTAGGCTTGAACTATTTTTAGATTTTTTTTTTCTAGAAAGTAACCGAAAGTGATGTTGTTTTGCAAGTGTGATGATTGTGGGTGTACAGTAATGCAACAAAGAAATTCCCTAGGATATTCACAGCCCACTGAGTGCGAACACACAGCAGCATTGTCAGACATTCAGTGGCTGATTGTCTCAAGTGTGTGTATCAAAGCAGCCCTGAAACACTGTCTGACAGGACAGATAGGAAGGATTAGGAAGAAGTTCAGAAGTTAAACCCTGTTTTAAATAGAAGTACGTGAGGCTCTGAGAAACAGCTCTACTCTTTGACACACACAGATTTTATGGAACCACTCGCTTGAATGGCTGGACAGAGTGTGAAGGGAATATAGCGGTATCGTAGCAGTCTGGATTTATTGTATGGTGTGCGTCTTGCGCGGTTAGCTCTAAGCTACTGGGGCCATTAGAGGGCTCCAGCCTGTTTGTAGACCTTAGTAAAACTGTTAGTAGGGTATTTTTAACTCCTTTTTGGGAGCTGTAGAGAAAGAAATTCCTGTTGTCTAACTGAATTGATCACAGAGAGCCTCCAGCTTTAAAGCTTTTTGTCCTGCAGCGGTTCACTTGCTGTTCTTCCCAATACTGTCACACATCACCACTAGTTACATTCTTAAATCACGCAGTGCCAAAACAAAGCTGACCATTCTCAGAGTAACAGTGGTGAAGGACTGGGGTGATAAGTTGATGTATTTTCTCCAAGATGTGAAGCCATCTCTTGGAACAGGTCATTTTTACGAACTGGTATTTTTGTGCAGAAACTAAATTCAATTACTTTGCAATTTTTTTTGTATGAAACTAGAGCACAGTTTGAATTCCAAACTAAATATTAAGACAGCTGTTTGTGAAGTTTCTAAATCTTGTTGTAAATATTTTACTTGTCCTAGTTCTCCAACTTATTTTTTGCGGCAGAAATGATTGATATAATAATTCAGAGGGGACTGCAGCTGCCAATTTAATTTTTCTCCAGAAAGGTAAAGGAGTTGGCCTCCTGCTCCTATCTCTGGACGGCTAAGGATGTTTTCTGAGCATGTTCCACTGTATCAAAATCAAGATCTTTTGAAAAGATAAGACCCATCTTACTGTTATTTTTTAACGTTACCAGCCAGACCTACTTCTAGAAAATTTTGTTTACTTTCCATTTACAGAATTTCAACACAATGAAGTTCACTTTGCTTCACTGAAGCAGAATAAGCAGTACTACTATAAACAATTCTGGATTGGTAGAATTACTATTATTGGCAGGAGAATTACTGCTTTGACCACACTAGCATTGCTCAATCTGAAAAATTCAAAGCGTGCTGCCTTACCAGTAAAATTTGCCTTATATTGGCACAGCCTGGGAGGCCCCCACAATCCATTCTGACTCCTGTCAGCAAAATCCAGAGCTTATGCTGACCAAGCAAAATCACCTTCATAAGAAACAAAAATCACTGTATTTCCACTGCGCTACCACTGTAATGCTTGTATAATTTTCTGTGGATTTAACAGTTTTCCAGGAACAATCCCACGCTGTCCTTGCCCTGTAATAGTAGCTGCTTCAGCGCTGATTCAACCCGCCCCATCTAGGCACCTGGCTTCCACTTTCAAACCCCCCAGCTTTTGGAAAAGCTCCCCTTTAGCTGCCTTTGTGTCCAGACTTGCCATCAAGTAAACCTGCTGGTTAAAAAAAAAAAAAAAAAGATGACTGAAAGATGATATTGCAAATTGGTCTATTAAAGAAATCCCAGACCATGTAAGCCTTTGGAGAGAATAGGCAATATAAGTGTAACGCATTAATTGTGATTCATACTAACTCATTAGAGCTTATCTATGAAGCTCTGCAAATTAATACAAAGTTGAATCCTTAGTGACACAGTGCCTCAGAGTGCCTTTTTGCTCAGCAAGGTGGTGCAAGCAACCTTTCTACTTTGTTACTCTGTTCTTTGGTTACGTTTCTCTCTTTACAAAACATCAGCGGGGCTGTATTCGGCAGTGACAATGAGAACGTTTGGTCTGCAGGACATACAAGAATTATCACTAAAAATTTTTTCTAAGGGCACACTCAATAGTTGGTCTGCAGTGGGTCTTGCAAAAATTAGTACTTCTTGCTCCTAAAAGTCTTCTAGAATTAACAGCTTCAGCAGGTTGGATCCTTCAGTCTCACAGTTGGCGCTTTACTGATGCAAGTACATTAGTAAAATGTTTCAATTTTCACTTCTAGGCGAGCACTGTTTCCCAAAACTTCTGCAAGGCAGCTTTCACCCCTCCTGGATCCTCACCCACCTTATTTCAGCAGAGCACGTAGCTCCACCTAGTGTCCGCCCCCCCATCTAGCTGGTTGCAACTCGTATTTCTCAACAGACAAAACCATGAATTCCTAGTTGCCAGCTTTACTAAATTTCAGAAACTACCTGCACCCCCAGCCCAGTCCTCCTTCCCCTTACTCCACGGTGCCAGGACTGTTAAGTAGCCGAGTTGAACGCTATCCCAAGTTGGGCTGTGCAAAATGCAGAGGTATGATGATTGGGAGTCTTAAGATAAAATGCAATAATGTTCTTTGGGTCTTAGCCTGTGTCCCATAACCAATTTATTTTCCAAAAACATATCTGTAAAACTGTATGTTTCTCACTTGTGACACTTACTAATGACTGCTGATAAAGCGGGAAGCAGCTGTTGTGCTTTAAGTAGAATCAACTTTATTTAAGGGGACCTAGTACTTCTTTTTTAAAGATAAAGGACATATGAGTTTCTTTCAGATAAAGCCCAGGGCTGTTACTTTGGATGGATTTGTATTAACCCCAGTGAACTGTGACTTTACTCTCCCATCCTCTCAGGTGTCTTTCAGCCAGTAACATGCCACACGCTTTTGTCTGCGCAAGGAGCACGCCAATTCGTCGTGAAGTGGGATGGAGGGCCAGACCGCTCATGGCAGTTCGCAGCAGGGTAACTCAACACAGCCCATCGCGTTTACTGACCAAGCAGAGTGCTGAACGGGCTCGTGGACTAGGCGAGCACTACAGGGCCGCAAGCAGAGGCCTGGGCCGTTGTGTGGGGCGGCAGCGTTGGCAGCACCGTCACGGCCCCTCACGGGCCCCGGTGGTGCAGAGATCCCGCTGTCTTCTGTGGGGCCGCAACGGCCCCTGTTCTGCGGAGGAAGAACCCGAGCTGATGTGAGGAGACAGCTCCTGAGGGGAAAAAAAGCCGGGAAGGAGCTGACGGGGCCGCGGTTACCTCAGCCCGCCAACACGGAGAGAGGCGCTCACGGCCGTTACATCCCTCGCGCGCATGCGCCGTTGGCCGCCAGGTCACCTGCCCCGCGCGCGCGCCCCGGGCCGCCTCGCCGCACGTCAACACCTCGCGAGAGGAAGAACCACACGCACAGACAGGACACCCGCGCGCCAGTGATAAGGGCGCCTTACAGCCCCCCTCCCACCCCCCCCTTTCACCTCACCCCGGCGGAACGCCGCGCTTTGCGATTGGCCGTCTCCCGCGCGCGCACCGACCCTCCGTGGCCTCAGCTACCAATCAGCAGGCGCCGGAGAGCCTTTGCGGGGCGCCCGGCTCC